TCAAGGGTGGCACCCTTCAGGATAGATTACAATTCAATTTAAAGAATACAAAAGTCCTCACAACTAGACAAATAAGTAGCATCACGATAAGTGGAGAAACAGTTGAAATTGTTTTTCTTGGATCCACAACCAGTGCTTATGAAAGCAACAGTAGAAAGATCAAGTGACCCCATCGCGTTGGGTAAATCTACTACACGAGGCCTCTTTAAAGTGTTGAAAAGTAAGGATGTGACTATGAAGACTGAGGTGCTTCTGCCACAACCATGGTATTTTCAGTCACCTCATGTTCATGTGAACGTTGGACATTGAACAAGGAAGACCAAAAAAGAATCCATGCGTATGAATTATGGTGCTGATGAAGACTATTGAAAGTACCACAGTCCACCAAAAGACTCCAAGGAACAGCCAGACGCTCCTTAACGACACGGATGCGAGACGTTGTCTCACATGCTGTGGACATGTTGTCAGGAGAGACCAGTGCCTGGAGAGGACATCCTGCTTGTCTAGGGCAGAGGAGCAGCAAAGAGAGAGAATGAGCTTTGACAAGACCCACTGACACAGCGGCTGCAACAGTGGGCTCAAACATGCGAACCATTTTGAGAATGGCACAGAATTGGGTGGTGTTTCGTTGTGCTGTACATAGACCCACTGTGAGTTGGAACCAACTTGACGGCACCTAGCAACAACAATCTAACATGTCACCCTGATTTGCATATTTATATTAAATAAACGTCAACCAATTTCTATTAAAAATTACTGTGTATACTCAAGTATAAGCTGAGTTTTTCAGCACACTTTTTATGCAGTTTTTGTGGTAAAACTAGGTGCCTTGACTGATAGTTGGGTCGGCTTATCCTTGCGTATATACGGTATGACAATTTATTTATTTCCAATTCTTACCTTAATTCCTTTTTCTTGCCTTATTGCAAATGGCTAGAATCGCCAGTCAGATTTTTTTGCTTCTCTTTTTGTGAAAGAATGGCTTAGTTATCTAATGCTGTTATCACAGAACTGCCACAAGTGAATGGCTTTAACAGAAATGTATTTTCTCACAGTTGAGACCAGAAGTCTGAATCCGTAGAGACAGTTCTAGGAATGACTCCCTCTAGGTTGGCTCTAGAGGAAGGTCCATGTCTTCTTAGCTTCTGTTTCCTGGTTCTGTGGAGCTCTCCGTGTGTCTTGGCATCAGTCTTCCTCTGGCTCTAGGAGATTCTCAGCACAGGGCCCACAGGCCCAAAGGATGCACTCCACAGCTGACTCTTCTTTCTTGGCCCTAGTGAGACCCCTCCATCTCTGCTCACTTCTCTTTCCTTTTAGCTTTGGTAAGGACAAGAGGTGTCTCAAGGAAGGGTGTGAACTAAGGAAGGGTGTGGCATGAGGAAAGGTGGACATGAGTAAGAGTAGTTTAGTCCTGTCCTCTTCACAAAACAGAGGATAATTACATCAGGTACAACCACACAAATTGAGCTGTGGGCTTTCTCAAGGGCACAGCACTCTGAGGTCCCAATAAGGAAAGGTCAATGGATTGCCACAGGGGAACCCACAGCCCCTCCAGTCAGCACCCTCAAACCATAACCACAGGCATGCCAGACAGGGCCCTGTCAAAGCACCTTCCCATTGTGGGGCACATCAGTAGCACTCTTGGCGTCATCTTCAAAGCCCTTGTTCACATAGAGATTGCTGGTCGTGTGGGTCAGGGAAGGATGTTTGGGGCAGGGATCTTTCTTGGCCATGACCTCCCTCGCCATAGCATCCACCTTTGCCTTTTCTTGCTCCATCACCACAGCCTGGTTAACGTCCGGCCCTGGGGGTGCAACCACAGTAGAGGATATTAGAGAGATGGCTGGGAAGTTGTCTGTCTCCCCTCCATCCCTTACAGCAGGGAACCACACACAATTAGTGCAGGGTACCCCACAAACTGTGCAACTGCCTCCACGTATCTTGCTCCCTGTTCTGACTACTCATCCTGCCTGGAAAACTACCAGCCATTGTGGGCACTGTAGCTGGGCCTCTGGCCTATCTGCCCTCCAGAGCACCCGGGACCCAGCTGCTGGCACTTTCTTTCAGGGAGCACTTGAAAGCACCTGAGCCTCCTGGGAGGCCTGCAAGTCTCCCTCTCTCTAGGAACACTTGGGACAACCCTACAGGACAGCAGAAAACGACTCCATAGGGTTTCCGAGGCTGTACACCTTTGCAGAGGCAGACTACAGCACCTCTCTCCCAGGGATTGATTGGCTGGTGTTTAAACTTCCAGCCTTTCGATGAGCAGACGAGAGATCTAATCATTGTGGCACCAAACCATGCGCACAGCTTCTCAATGTAAAAACCCATTTCTTACTGAAGGTCTTAGTTAAAAGTTTCAAAGTACAGCAACGAAATACCATATAGCCATTTCACAGTGTTTCAGACACATCTGTTGAACAGAGATATTCACAATATATTAAGCAAAAGAGCCTTCAGACTAGAAAGCACCATATGATCACACCCAGGGATCAATAGAGAGATAGAGATATAAGCTGACAATAACCGTCGCGAGGTAAGTTGTCTGTGAGTCTCTGTGCTTTTGCTCCAGCTCGTGTGTGGCTGCACCTTCCAGGAGGAAGCATGCATTACCTTGGTGACCATCATCACAGTGACACTGACCTAGAGCAGGGAGTCTGTGGACTCCAGCTGGTAAAGGCAGGAACAGTTGAGTGGTCGGGCACTCACCCAGATAGCTGAGGACCACAGGCAGGAAGACGAGGCCATGCAGCAAGCCCAGGAGGGTGATGAGCAGGTTGAGGCGGAAGAAGAAGATCTGGATGAGCTGGGCCTTGGCAAGACCCAGGACCAGGATGCCAGGCAGGTTGGTCATGGCCACACCAGCAAAGACCTGGGCATCACAAGCGGGTGTTAGGGTGGGGCCCCGGGGTGCCCCGCACCATGGGCATGTGGGGTTGGCGCCGCGCCACTCACCGCACTGCCCATGTTAATGGTGGCTTCCTCAGCCCTCTCCAGGCGGGTGGGCTTGGTGCTGATGGCAAAGGAGCGAGTGATGTGGGACACAAATTCCACCGAGATACCCACTGCCTGCAGGTAGAGAAGGCTTCGGCTATGCAAAGTGGCAAGCACCCAAAGAGACTGAAGTCTTCCCCGGGACCCAATGGAACTGGCAGGGTCCTAGGAAGCTGGCATTTCCAAATACCTCTTGGGAGAGGTAGTTCCACCCTTAAGACCCAGTCCCTGGGCTGCCAGCCTGTGGCTGGGGATTTACCGTGACCAGGTTGATGAGGGACACAGCATTGTAGCTGATGTCCCAAAGCGCCATGAAGCCAACAGTGTCCACAAGGATCATGATGATAGAGAAGAGGTTGAGGAGGCCAGAACGGAGGTCCATGCCCAGCAGAAGGCAGCAGACGACAAAGGTGGGCATGAGGCAGAGGGTCAGCATGAAGAGCCCCTCGGGGATGACTGTCAGATACTGCTCGTAAAACACGTTTGTGATCCTGTGGTTGACAAGACATGGTCACAGCCAGCCAGCATTGGATCCCATCAAGAAAGGCAGGGTGCTCCCATTTTAACGTGAAGAGGCTGACTCACCGAGGGCCTCAGAGTGAGGAATAGACAGGCCCAAAGGTAGCCCCGACTTTCTATTCTAGCCATGCCCTCTCCCACATGACTCCCCTGCAACCCAGCTTCCCAAAAGTACAGTCTCCAGCCGGGGGGCCCTTGACGCCCTTGGGGCCCAGCTGCCCAGAGCCTCACGTATAGGGGAAGACTTCAAAGGCTGGGTCTGTCCCTGGGACCTTCCGCAGACTGGCAGTGATGTTGGCTGCTAAGGCTCGAGCTGCCCGCAGAGCTTCTGTGAAGTCCTGTGAGTTCTTCAGGGTCTTGTGGTACGCCATGAACCGAGAGGCTGGGCCAGCATGGACAGGGCCAGGGAGATGCGAGAAGAACAAAGGTCAGATTCTACTTCAAGACACCATTAGCTTCAGCTGGGAGCGGATCTGGCTTCCTCAAACCTGGGACTAGTCATGCAATGACTAGTAGCCTTCATGCAGTTCTGATTACTTCGGAGCCAAGGCCCCAAATTTCATTTTAATTCTTCCTGCAGATTTGGCAGCTGGTATGGCTACCAGGACTAGGCCAGGTCCCAGGCTCTATGACTGACTGACTGACCCCAAAGCAATCGCCCTAATGGACTCCAACGATCCTCTGTGTAGCTTCAAAACGTACACAGGATTGCAAAAATTCCTTCAATGCAATCACATTGCCACTGTGCATATTCCTACAGAGAAGAAAAATGAAAACTGCCGCCCCGGAGACCATGGGGTTGTGGACCGGGGTGCCAGTCAGGTACAGCGAAAAGCACTCTGAATTGTTTATAACGAGCAGGAAGACCAGAGAAGGAGACAGTACGGCTCTTGTCATTATGGAGAAAATGTTCAGAAAGCACTGGCCCTGGGTTAGAGACAATCTTAGGGTTGATGTGGAGCAGTGGTTCCCAAAGTGTGGGTCGCAGGATGGGGGCCAGCCTGGGTTTTTTCAGGCAGTTCCAAATTTCGGGGTAGCTGTGGGAAGCACCCCTCGAACTTCAGGCTAACCTGGAATAAGGGATAGCAGAAGGGGCCCAGGTGAGGGGCATAGGCTGGGAGTCCAAAGCCTTGAGAGGTGGGATGCGTGAAGGAGAAAGAAATGAGAACAATAGTGCACACAGGGAACTCTCAGGACCCCAGCGAGGCTGCTGCACTCACCCAAAATCTCACCATCCTGGCTCAGGTTCACAGAGGTGCTGTAAGCTGCCAGGCCCCTGTGAGAAGAATGCCGAGCAAAGGGGCTAGGACTCCCCCATCGGCTTCACCCTCCCTTGGAGCCCCACATCCGCCCTCCCAGAGGCAGCCCTTCGTACCCTTTGGGACACTTGATGTTGGGCGGGTCATTCAGGAACCACGGGAGGTACTTGTGGAACTGTTCCACTGATGGGCGGACGGGGCCCGGAGTGCGGCTCACGCAATTCTTAGAGCAACTCAAGGAACCTGAGGTAGAGAGGCAACCTAGGTCCCAGGGCAGGACCCCTATGTGGGGCTCCAGCCCACCCCACCCCTGACCCCACCTTTGAAGGCCTGCCCTTATGGCTCACACCATCAGAGAGCAGCGTATGGCCCCGTGCTACTTCTAGAGGGATTTGTCACTAATCCGGAGGAAAGAAGCCTGGTGGCACAGCTGTTACACATTTGGCTGCTAACTGAAAGGTTAGCAGTTCAAACACCACCACCCCCATGGTCTGCTTCCTTAGCCATTGTCGTTGCTGCTGTCAGGTGCGGTCAAGTCAGTTCCAACTAACAGCGACCTCGTGTGCAGTAGAACGAACTGCTGCTGGGCCCCATGCCAGCCTCACAACTACGCCCGTGTGTGAGCCCCTGGTTGCCACCACTGTGTCTCATCCTTGAGGGTCTTCCTCCTTGCTGCTGATGTTCTGCTTTATCAAGCACGATGTCCTTCTCCAGAAATAGGTCGCTCCTGATAACGCGTCCAAAGTACAGGAGGCAAAGTCTCACTGACCTAGATTCTAAGGAGCATTCTGGTTTTACTTCTTTCAACATAGATCGGTTCATTCTTCTGACAGTCTGTGGTGCATTGAATCTTTTTCTTCCATAAAGATTGCAGCCTAGAGAACCCTGTGGTTCTACTGTGTCACACGAAGGTCACTATGAGGCAGAACAGAGCACCCGGTAACACCACCAGCTGAGGAAAATAACCCTCTCCAGGCACAGGCACCCACCGAAGAGGCAGTCTTGGGTGGGGCAAACCACACAGGGGCACTCTCCCCTTAGCGGAGCTGGTCCGGCTCCTAGGACGCTGGCAACCCTCTGCTCGACAAGCCCACCCAACTATAGACACGCACCGTCAGGGTGCCTGCTATACATAGATGGACAAGGCCCCTGACATGGGCTCCTTCAGGCTTCTGCCCCACACTGTGACAGAGCCAGTGAGGGGTGTGTGAGAGAGCCAGATTCCCCTGAAGGGGGCAGGAGGGGACAAGAAGACTGGCTATGCCCTCCTTTCAATGCTATTCCTTGCACCCCAGTTTCCCACAGATGAGGTAGACAAGGAGGCCCTTTAGGCCTTGCGCTCACTGATAGTCGAAGGACAGAATTGACCCACGTTGGGGCCAAAAGCATAGAGGCGGCAGCAAGAGGAGGGGGCCAGCCAGTCGATGAAGTCGTCCACCCAGGAAGAGGCAGGTATGGCCAGGTAAGACCTGAAGGGCAGGAGAGAGAAGGTCGACTAGGTGGGCAGCTGAGCAGGGGCGGGGAGGCTTCCTGGAAGGCTTGTGGCTGTGAGAAAGGACTGGGTGGGAGAGGAAGGGATAGGCCGGGAGGGGCTTGAGCCGAGAGTCACTCACTCCTCAGGGAACTCAGTGGCGTACTGGATCTTCTGGGTTAAGGAGTAGCTGTCACAGCCTGCGCTGGAGCAGATGCCGTTCAAGCCGGCCTCGCTGGAGAAGTTATAGCCCGCCGTGGTGACAAAGTAGACGGGGGCTCCCACCTCAAAGTACCGGTTCAGAAAGAGGAAATAGTCGAGCAGGTATGAGTCCTAGGAGACACAGGGCAGTCAGTAGGCTAGGCCCACTCCTGTGGAAGTGTATACACGTAGGCACATCCACAGAGGTACACATGCAGGCATACACACAGAGTTATGGACACGTGTACACACAAAGGTACATGCATAGACGTACAGACAGGCGCAGACACAGCTGAGACGTGCAGAGGTATACACACCCAGAGTACACACACAGCAGGCACACAGACACATTTAGAAGTACATACACACCGGTAGAGTCAGGGGAATGCAAGCACAGAGTAACTCATTCTGGCTGACATGAACACACATGTACCACCTTGTCTTTCCTGGTAATCCCAGCCAACCTGTGGCCCCGAGGCACAGCCACACAGAGATGGCCCCGGGCTCACTCTGGGGTCCATCCCTAGGGACCAGCACATCCATTGGCCTCTCCTTGTTCCTCCCACCCTAACAGTCTCCTGTTAGGAGGCCACTGGTCCCCATGAGTGCTTGAAAGCACTGGGCACTTTGTCCTCGACTCCGAGATCTGGCTGGCTTCTCTCTACCTCACAGGATGACTCTACCGTCTTCTGCATCTTATCTCTTCAAGATTTGGACCCACTCCTCTAAAGCAATTCCATAGATAGGCCAGGTTCACTGTAGCCAGGCCTAGGCCTGACTCTCCTTTGAGCTCTTAGGTCCCAGTGCCCATGTCTCCCAAGGGATCAGCCCTGCTCTAAGGGGTTGGCCCTTCGCTCCCTTCCCTTGCTGCCATCCAGCCCTTGAATGCACATCCAGCTGAACAGCAGGTTTGGCCTGGGTTCCTCAGAACACCTGGCCACCCTACAACTTGCTGGCCCAGCATTCGTCCTTGATCCCTGTTTCCATGCCTGCCTGGATGGAGTCCCAAAGCCCAGATCTGTCTGTGGGTCAGGCTTCCCACACAGGGCATGGGTCTCTGCCCTCCAGGTCTCCCCACCTTCATACTCAATGCCCCCCCCCCATTGTTCTTGCTTCAACCTCACCCTTGCAGCGTTTGTATTTTACTGAGCCCACTTTTGCAGAGTTGTCCTTTTAGCCCACCACGGGCCACCTTGGCCACCCCTGGTCTTCTGGCCTTGCATTGGTCTTAGTGCCTGCATTTCCCCCTCCTGACAAGGCCTCTTCCCCTGTCCTTCTGCGAGTGCTGCCACACCCCAACCAGGCAGCAGTCGCAGCAGACGTGCCTCACCTTGGGCAGGGCCAGTTCCTGGTCGAGGCCCACACTGATGTGGCACATGAAGTAGAGCCCCACCCCGAAGAGGGCCAGGAACAGTATCACCTGGGGAGGAAGGACATGAGAGCCCCTGGGGTTACTTCCCTCCTCACCTTCCTCCCCCAACCCTCTCCAAGGGGTCTGGTTGGCAGGACCCAGAGTCAGACTGTCTTCCTCCAAGGCCACCAACATTAAACTCAGCCTGGGGAGTTCCCCGCCTTTCCAAGCCCTACCTTCTCGCCAAGAAAGCCAGGTTCGAGACTGAACAAACACGCTCAAGTGGCCAGGCTGCCCCACAACTCACCACGACCCCACGGGTGACTTTGTGCAGCAGGACTGGTGTGTAGACGTGGCGGAAAAACCGCAGCAGGAACCCCTCCCGGGGGCTTGATAGAGAAGGCTGTGGGGTCCTAACGCAGCAGCAGATGTCGAGGCGAGAGGCCTAGGGAAGCAGCCTCTCAAGGTGGTGCAGGGGACACGAGGCTGTGCCCACCTGCCCGCATTGCACAGTTGTGCTTTTGTTTTTGTTCTGTTCTTGCGGAAGTATCTTTGAATTTTACTGTCACATAGCCCATCACTCCCTGTCGCCTGCTCACACCTATCTGGTGTAGCTGACCTCATGCATTCCTGGAAATTCTATGCATTTCTTTAAAAAATGACACAAGTGAAATCACTGTTCTAGGGAAATGGGGAATGCAAAGTCCAAATATTTTCCCTCCCAGCCACCTCCCAGACCACAGCTCTCCAGCAAAGCAGGACACTGAGCCCTGGCCCAGGCCCACCTCCTGTCTCCTGCTGTCGAGGGAAAGCAGGGCCACGAAGGCAGACATCTGCAGCAAGAAGTCAAGCACCACCGCGAGGCCAGAGGTCAGGGCGAAGGTTCGCACGGCTGGCATAGGAGTCAGGGCCCCTGTGGGAGGGCCAGAGGACTATTAGAACACTCCGTCCTGGGCACAGACAGAGAGGCAAGGGTCTGGCCCATCTGAAACTCCAAATTCAACACAGACCCAGCCCCTGGGTGGGGGAGGGGGGAGGGGCAAATCTTACCTAAGAAGAAGCAGATGGCCTCCGAGAGGCTGCACAGCAGCATGCTGGGACCCACATGGCCTAGGGTGCGGCCAATGTGTGCTTCTCGGCGTTCCCCGGGCTCCCTCGGCAGCCTCTGTGTGGGGACAGCAGTGGGGGAGGGAATCCAGGGCCTAGCCAAAGCATGGGCCAGGCCAGGCCAGGAGGGAACTAATAGTGGCCCATGTGGAAATGCCAAGAATGATCTCTTCCTAAAGACCTCACGTGGTACAAAGAGTCTGCCCTCCAGCTTCCTTGTAGGCACTTGGCACTGCTGCCCTCCCACCGTAGGCTCACCCAAACCATGGCAGGCACAGTGTTTCAGAGGATCAGGATCGCTGCACCAGCACATGCATGGAATCTGCATGTTATCAGGATGGGACCAAGTAGACCCAATTGATCGTGATGCGGCAGGAGGCATCTCCCTGACATCACGTGGAGCTAGCCGGAAGCGAGTTCATGCAGGATGATGCACGTGGCATCGATCCACCTGTGCGGTACAAAACACAACTCTGCTCTCCATAACCGTGAGTGGCCATCCAGTGGACCCGACTCATGGTGACTCCACGGGTGCCAGAGTGGAACCGCACCCCAAATGGTTTTCAGCGACTGGTTTTCCACAAGTGGATCACCAGGCCTTGCTTCTGAGGTTCCCCTGGGTGAGCTCTGAGCTGCCCCATCTTTGGGTTAGCAGCCAAGGGGGTGAGCTACTCATGCCACAGTGCTCGAGAAGTCCCTCCTTTCGGCAGGTGCCACAAACGTGTGCGTTGATGCGAAGGTGAATTCTGGGAGAATGCTCCACAGACTGACAGGCTGGTGTGTGACAACCAGAGACAAAAGAGCCCCCGCCTCCTTACCTGGTACTCGAGAACGAAGATGAAGATGTTGTCAGCCCCCACAGCGAGCACCAGGAAAGGCACGACTTGGAGGATGACCAGAGAAGAGGGGACCCCAATGTAGGAGAAGAAGCCCATGGCAGACATGACTGCTCCCAGCACCACTGCTATCCCCCCCAGGCCCAGCGTGGCCTTGGAGTCCACCTGCGTTGGAATCAAAGATCAGCTTCCTTTCCACGGCCAGGGGACCACACCCGCCCGGGCTGGAGGAAAACTGTGCCCAGCTGTGCACCATGCTCTCCCACCGGGGCCAAGGCTCTTATCACTGGGCATCTCTCCAGAGCTGGCCTCCCAGGGCAGGCCCGAGGCCCCACGGCCACGGCTGAGCAGAGAGTACATACTGGAGCAGGAGGCATATATTTATTGTAAGAAACTCGAGCTACTGGTTCTTACATGGAAAGATATCTCAGGGAACAGCTTGAAAACATGGCATTGGCCTTAGGAAACAGAGCACCGCCGAGAAACAGACTAGAGGCTACTTTGGCTTAAGGTGAGTTTGGCTCTGTGTTCGGCTGTGCTCTGGTTATGGAAGTTCATGACCCAAGGAGGGCTTCTAGGGCCCTAGAGCCACCTGTGCTCTCAGCAGGGACTGTATAGGACCCAGTCAGAACTCACCAGCATTCGGCGACAGCTGGAGTAGCTGCCCAGGGCCAGGGCGATGTACAGGAAGATGACGATGTAGCTGATGGCAAAGATGGGCAGGTCCTCCCCTGTGGTGCGGTTGATCTCATCTTCCAGGGAGCGCTGTGGACACACAACCAGCAAGTGCACTGGCTGAGTCTTACTCGGGGCTAGCAGACTCTCAAAGTTCCTAAACCTCAAGGGCATGAAGCAGGGGTTCAGGGAGGGTGGGGGAGGCAAGGGAGGAATCTTCATCATCGTGAACATCCCAACAGTAACAAAGCTTCCTGTGAACACTCATGGCTGTGCGTCCTCATGTACCTGGGGATGGGCTATAAGACCCAGACAGCCCTGTAGCAAGGAGGCTTCCCTAATCGACCCCGATTGGGAACCAGGATATATATAAGGCAGTGAGGTCTCTTGCCCAGGATCACTCAGGAGGTGGCAAGGACAGGACTAGGCACAGGAACCCACTTGTGGTTGCCCGGGCTGCACCCGCAAGCCATAGGGCTTGAGCTCACCTCTGCCATGTAGGTGACCTGGAAGGTGCCAGCCATTCGCAGCTTGAAGGCTCGCATCTCCTCCAGGAAGCTCGACTCCCAGAGCTTGGCCTGGGCCAGCCGGGGGTCCCCAGGTGGGTAGTTGTTGAGAGAGAAGGTCATGATCAGGGCTTCTGCCTCGGAATAGTCCTTCCCTGGGAAAGACACACTCAACAAAGAGCTCTTACTGGCTCAGCTCTCCATCTCCCTGCACACCACCACCACCTCACACACACACCTTCCTATTCATTGTTTGGGCCTTCCTACCTCACCTCAGCCAAAGGCAAGACCTGTGGGCCAATGCGCAGTAGAAGGCTGGCATACTATCAGACAAGGAAGACGCAGAGGCATGGCAAGGCAGGTCACCTGAGCTCCCATACACCAGAACCTCAAGGTCATATTCCCACCTGCCACCCAAGGGTCCCTGCCCCTTACAGGTGTCCTCTGGGGCTATCATCTTACCTTTGTACCCCCCTACTGCAAGGAAAGGGAAGACAGGAGCCCCGTAGTCAGCCATGCAGCTCAGGCCCAGGGCTGTGCCATCCTTGAAGGTAAGTGGAGCGCTGTGGGGAACAGGGAAGGGGACATGCTCTGCCTGCTCCAGGACTCTTCCTTCCCATTCCCATTCCCTGCCCCAGCCACACCGCTGTGGAGTGGGAGCCGGAGGGCCCTGGGCCACCTGGTCCAGGGGATTGGTAACGAACGGTCTTAGTCCGTTTCACAAACTCAGCTTTCTGAAGAAGCCCGGGAAGCAAAGTGGTGTCATGGGCTGAACCGCGTCCACCAGAAATATGTTGCCATTTCAACACATATGTACCCGTGCCCACAGAGGTCATCCCTTTGTGATGGTCACTAAGTCATGTCTGTATAGAGTGTGTCTTCAGCTGAATTACTCTTGAGATCTCCAAAGAACAGATTCGGCAGAGGGATGAGCAAACCCCGCAAGGAAAGAGCCATGCCAACTGGGGAGTTTCAGAGAGCTGGGGTGCCCTGAGGTCACGGGCAGAGATAAAGGCAAAGATGTTTTCCCACAGGAGCAGAGAAAACCTCCCATTTGGATTTCGAGCCTCCTCCATGAGAAGGAAACTAATTTCTGTTGGCTCAAGCCCCCGACTCCTGCTATTTCTGCTATAGCAGTGCTAGGAAACCGAGACACGTGAGATCAAGCAGATCTTTTGTGTCCTCTCCATGTGGGCAGTCTCTCTCCCAGGGCTAATTGCCCTCTTTCAACCTCACACCAGCCCCACAATTCAGGTACCGTGGCGATCCTCATCTCCCACAAAGCAAGTGGACGACAACGCTGATAAGAGTCCATGTGGGGTTGGGGGCTGGGATTTGAACTGGAGGTCCCACATACCGTATGCTTGGCCTTCTTCTGCACCCCAGGGTCCCAACGTACTCTAGTCCCAGGAGCTCCGGAGTCAACACCACCATTATTGGGAGGTGACCTTGGACAAGGTCCCTCCATGAGCACTCTCCATACAGTGTGTTGGTGCAAAGAAGCAGTGGGTCTATCCGTGAAAAGCTCTATCAGCCCTTGGGCAGCTGGCAGCATCGGCTGTGCTCCTAACATGCTCTAGAACCTTGAGCACCTCCCCTCCTCACTCTGAGCCTCAGGTTTCATGTCTGGGATTGAAGAGAACAGACCGCCCAAGTGATTGTGAGAATCCACAATCTAAACAAACATAGCATGCTGTGTGCGGGGCTGAGGGCTGAGTGGGGGCAGCTAGTCTATCTCAGAGCAGCTGTGAGTCTGGGATCACAGTGCCCGATGCCCCTTGTGACCACTGAAGCCATGGCACAGCCTCCCCTTGGGCTGCCCTTTGCAACTAGCATTTGAGAAAGGTCACTTGGTGCATTTTGACGTAGCATCCAAGAATAGCTACATTGCCTGGAAAGGCTATGAACCTGCTTGGTATACTTCACCTAACAAATCACAACAGAGGCAGTGCAGCGTCAGTTATGAAAATCCAGCTGCCGTTGATTAAGCAGGATATGAAAGATAATTTGCAAACATGTAGACGCACACTCCTCGCTATGGATATTTTTGTTTTGAAAAACATGCTTCATAAAAACATGCTATGCATATTACCATCTAAAGGGGTTTCTTTGTTGTTCTTTTAAAAATAATAACTGTTATCCATTTCTGTGTTAATCTGTCAGTGTTGAGAGATATCATGCACTTTAACAGAAAGTGTTTGGGGTCGGCCCTGAATGAATGTTGGGAATGCAAGGAGGCCTTGAGATCAAAAAACATTTGAGGGCCGCTGTTTTACTTCCTCGCCCCAAACCCACAGCTACTGTCCGCCTGCCGGGCAGCCCGCACATTCGTTTTGCATGTGGGCCTCCCCAGAGGGACTAAGCCAAGCCTTGCCAGGGACACCCAGCTACGCCCTTGCCCTCTTTCCTCCTCACACCGCAGCCCAGAGTAGGCCCCGAAGGCCTGTCAGCTTGCAGGCGGTGGCACAGCGCAAAAGCACGCAAACGGAAGCCTGAGCGGGGCCAGCCAGACTCCTCTCTGAAGGCCAAAGGAAGAGAGGGGTCCCCTCAACAGAAAGAAAGGGAAGTGGACCCTCAGAGTGTTTGCTGAAGAGGAGGAGGGAGGGGCTGGAGAACACACCCAGGAGGGTGAAGGGCCATGCCGCCCGAAAGGCCCAGAGCCCTCTACCTTGGGAGCACCCTCTCTGGGAGCACCTTGGCCGTCCCATGGTTTTACCATGGGTTTTACTCACTTGACACAGTACAGGAAGTGATCCCTCCAGTCCACCTGGGAGGTCTGGCCCAGGAGCGTCTGGTTGGCCGTGAGCAACAGCTGCGATCGATTGTTCTGGAAGTACTGCAGCAGGCTGTTGACACAGCAGTCTGAAAGACTGGCATTGTGAGGGTTGAGCGGGGCATAGCAGACGTCTCGGAGAGAGATGTTGCGCTGCTCCCGAGGGGACCACACCTGCAGCTGCCGCAGCCTCTCCTGAAGCTCCAGCAGCTCCAGCAGCAGGTCCAGGGCCAAGATCCCACTGAAGTTCTTGGGCCCCAGCATCAGGGAGTCATAACCGTAGCTGGTCCTGCCAGGTGCCGTCAGGATCACCTGGTTGGTTCGGAAAAAGGGGCCAAAGTGCTGGTCGTGGAACTCCTTCTCCCGTCGGGCCTGGCTGTTCGGGGCTGACCACAGGTCCACAGGGTCAGTGGTGAGTTCCATGAAGGCCAGGCCCCCTGACAAAGCCAGCACCACAGCAATGGACACCCCTAGGATGGTCAGTGGCCATGAGGCCACCCATGTGCCCCAGGTCTGGAAGAGCTGGCCCAGGAACCTGTGGGTGGAGAGGCTGAGCCTGTCGAAGAAGCTTGTATGCACACCCGGGTCTGCCACCTTGCCCTTGTCCCTACCGCAGCGAAGGCGGGTTCCCACAAGGAAGACAACAAGGATAGCGAAGACGGAGCAGAGGATGATCACCAGGGCCAGGTCCCCCGCCATCCGGCCCAGGCGGAAAGTGGAGTCCAGAGATTGGGGGCGCATAATGACGGGACACGATGCGGCACAGTCCTGGCACGAGCAGGCCGCAGCACCAGATTCCTGGGATGTATTGCAGCTCACAATTTCCGCGTTCAGAAGCTGGATGCCAGCCCCAGGGGCCGGGCTAGAGTCCAGGAGGAGAAAGGTGATGTCCAATGGAGCCAGACCATTGCTGGTGTCTCCCTGGAAATTGAGCCAGCGCTGGGCATTGCACAGAGCAGAGCCATACACGCCACACATGGTGCCCACGGCCAGCGTAGCGGCTGCAGGGATGCGAACGCGGCTGCAGGAATCATAGGCCTGCTCGGCAAAGCTGCGCTGGTAGAAAGCCTGATAGGCCAGCACTGCTGAATCCTGCCCATTGGCGAGCTTGGAGATACGTGTCACATTGATAAAGAGGCTCTGGTTGGGGCTGCAAGTGTTTTGACAGTGCAGGCTGACGAAGTTGTCGGCACAGGCGGGACAACGGGACAGGAGGGCCTTGGTGACCATCATGCTTCGCTCCAAGGACAGCAGCTGCTTGAGGGAGCAGCACGCATAGGTGGTATTGGGGCCGTTGTAGAGACGAGGGCAGACGCGCTGGAGACTGGCCAGGTGCGAGCCTGTCACTGGGCGGGCCGGTGTGTTGGACAGGCAAGAGACGTTGGACAGAGGGAGCACACTGCCAGACAGCTCAGGGTTCTTGCCACACTCATCGTAGAAAGCGCAGTAGCCAGCCTGATGGATGGGTGTATACAGCTCTGCGTGGGCCTGCGGAACAGAAGACGTCACTGGGCCTGGGGTGGAGGCCCAGGTGACCCAAGGAGGACCCAGAGAGAGTGAGCCAGGGAGTTGGGCCAAGGACACGTGACTGGGGCAAGACGAAAGGGAACCTGGAGCAGCAGGAAGGGAAGGAAGGGCCCTCAGGAGATGTACCGTTTTGAACGGTTTAGAAACATCTCTCCCAGTCAAGCAAGCCAGGGGATGGAGTCTCCCCAGAAGGCTGCTGTGAGGATCCTAGAGAGCCCTAGGGATGGGGGGGTGGGACAGGAGCTGAGGCCGGCTCCTCAGAGCTGGTATAGAAGCACAAGAAGTTCTGTCGGTACCGAGTCCTCCCAAGGCTGGAAGCCCCAAGCTGCCAGGCCGCAGTCCAGAGGCCCTGCTGGGAGGCTTTCTCGGAGATGCTGAATACAGGCTGTGTTTTGCCTGAACGACTACCCACCCTCAGAGGCTAAGGAGGGGGCAAGACTCTTAAGATGCTCCATGCTTTCTGCCAGCTGCCAGGACGCTGGATGAGATCTGTCCCCCACGCCTTCTCCATCTCCATAGCAAGACTAGTGACACGGGTGCGGCTCTGAGCCAGAGCACAAGCTGCTTCCCGGTTGGAGCTATCTGCCCTTCTCTGTCCTCTGTAGTCCAATTGAACCTCTTAACTCCGAGAGTCAGGGGGTGAAGGGAGTAGTCACGATCCTCCCCCCACACTTTCCTCTGACGGGCTGGAACCCACCGCTCCCCTATAGACTAACCTGGCCCTCCGTTTATCTTTGGGTCTGCTATCTCCTTCAGATCCTCAGATCCTCACTGTGCATCAAGCAGTCCTAGTCCCCAAGAGCTGTCAACGTACCCACCCGGGACCCCCTGAGGGCAGTGGCCTGTGGACATATGTGGCAAAGACTCACCCAGCATGGGAGCAGGACGAAGACCAGACAGAACCTCAAGCCACCCTTAACCATCCTGGACCTGGGAGTGGGCAGCAGGACCAGATAGAGGGTCAGATGCAGGGCGAGCCAAGAGCTCCGGCTCCTGACATAACACGTTAAAAAGAGTCTCCTCCCCGCTGATGACAGCCCTGGCCTGACTGGGGTGGGAGCCAATGGGTACACCTCTCAGACTTCCAGCTGGTTAATGATCCACCACACACCCTGCTCATCCACCATTTGGGCCCCGTTCCATGGCCTCTTCTTAGTGGAAAGGGTGAAGTCTTTCTTTTGCCCACTTCCCAAAGCAGCAAAGGCTGAGTGAGGGCTGAGCCAGCAGAGGAGAGGCCAGCGTGGGCCTCTCACATCAAGCCCGATGTTGTAACTAGTTCCTGCCGTGAGAAGCGATGCCCTGAAAGACAGAGAAGGGCTTGGCTAGGGCTCTGGGCTCTGGAGCTCTGGGCTCACAGGCTCTGTACTGGCCTGGGAACCTCTGCTTCCTCTCAGATCCTCCCTCCCCCTTCAGTCCCCCTTGGTCCAGACATCCCCCAATGCCACCGTCCTTAACAAGTATTATGAATTAGTAAGGATAAGACGAGACCGTTGGGGTTCAGTGCACATGTACAGGAAAGACAAAAGAGCAGCTCTCCACTCTGTCCCTACTTCCTCTACTTGCCCCCTTGTTGGGCCTGCCTGCATGGTGAGGAACAGAAGGCAGGCCAAAGCCAAACCAGGCACACCCTGCTGGGCCCAAGTGCACTGCACATGCCCTCTGCTCCTTTCCGATAGGCATCTTGCATAGCCTTGTTCAGGCTTTCCCTATCTCCAGGAAGGGCCATGACCTTGGCTCCCTGATAACACAGGCTGTGGAGCAGAGGCGTTGTTAAGGTTGGTGCCACATAAGTGGTAACGCATAGTGTCACACAGCCACCCTGTCCTCACCCAGCATCATGAACCTCTTCCCATACCAGCATGAACCTCTCCCCCTGCCAGACCACACAGAACCCTCAGTAATGTTTATTTTCATTTTCATTCACAGAAAAGTGTGTGCTAAATGAAGTTGTAAACCACTTAAATGTAATATGTTTTAGATTATATGAATCCTAACATCAAAACTGGTTTGTAAAATCTTTCTACATTGAATTACATTATTAGTTATAACATTATTAGTAACTGAATAGAAAAGCCTTTTAAATTTTTTTCTCCTTTATTTACTACTTCAGTCTCAAAAAAATCATTGAGGGAGGAAATGAGGAGCTAATAACGAGTACTAGAATGAAGAAAACATTCTAAATTTGATTGTGGTGATGATTGTACAACTTCATGATATGATTGAATTATTGTATGATATGTGAATTATAGACCAATAAAACTGTTTTTAAAAAGAAAGAAAGAAAACAGTTTTTTGATGTAGGTTCACAAATACTTATTGCCCCTGTATTGTGTCTTTATAAAATACCAAAGATATTGAGAGAAATCAATGACTATACAAACATCAACAGCAATGAAAACAACATGTGCTTGTAGCGCAGGCAGAAATCATGATCCGAAGCAGCACTGTATTTGGGTAATGTACTCTGAATGAGAGCATTAGGATGTTCAAAAATAAATGAGCACAATGGTCTCTAGGTCCATCCATGTCATGAGTGTTTCATGGTTTCATCACTGTTTTTCAGGGATACGTAGTTTCCATTGTGTGTATTATCAGAATGTCTTTAACCATTCTTTTACTGATGAGCCTTTGGGCTATTTCCAGCTGCAGCTGGAAAACTGTCGTGCAATTGACGTAGGACAGCATACTACCGTGCTTCCCAGAAAATAAGACATCCCCCAAATGAGACCTACTTACAGTTTTGCCTTTTCCTGAAATATAAGGCATCCCCCGAAAATAAGACCTCCCCGATAATAAGGCCCCCTGAAGCCACCGTAACTCTGAATTCTGGACCGTAGCGACGGGCACCACCACGCAGCTCAGTGTTGGCCACAGCACAGCCGGAGCAGACAGGAAGTGTGAGGTCTCTTTTCATCAGAGAGCCCGCTCTGATGCCAGGACAAGCCTGCTGCTTGCTCTGCCCTGATGGAGTCTGGCTGACTCACAATTAGTGAGTCACGCGGGGCAGGAGTCGGGCACATTGTGTGGACACATAGGGTTGACTGAGGTAGGGGGGAAATGTCTGATAAAGGGGTGCGGGGGAGGGGGGTCTGGTGAAGGTGTCCGGTAGCACAGGGGTTGGGAGAGGGGGAAACAGGGTAGTAACAAGAAATTTTTGATACTGTAGGATTCACAGTTTGTCTGGTTATGCTGGTTTGTGATGACAACTACTACCATACCGTATACAGGTAATAAGTTTCTTATTTTTATATTCAACAATAAATGTGTACCATATTCTTCTTCATGGAAAAATAAGACATCCCCCCAAAATAAGACCTAGCACATCTTTGGGAGCAAAAATTAGTATAAGACACTGTCTTATTTTCGGGGAAGCAGGGTAGGTGAGCATCAAGCAACTCGCTCTGAGTTCGTGCACCCAGTGGCATCACCTGGGAAGGTTCTCTCTGGTTCACAGTGAATTTTTTCTTAAAACCAGTTTCACTCAAACCTCGTCTTCGGTGATTGCCAATTTAAGAGAACAGCGTGCAGCTGTGAAATTTTGTTTCCTGCTTGGGAAAAATGCTGCAGAAACTGTTGTGATGTTGAACACAGCTCCAAGGACAGCACTATGGGAAAAACTCAAGTGTAAGAGTTTTTCCTATTTCAAAAAAGGTAAAATGTCAATTGATGACAAACTTTGTTCTGGATGTCCATCAACTTCCCGAACGGATGAAAATGTTGACTCGTGCATTTGGAGTTTGATCCACTAGGTTGTTTTTTTTTTAGGGTTTTCCGGTAAGAGCCAGAACACCTGCTAGACAAATTCTAAAAGAGCTGTAACACTCGATCCACTAGGTCTTACTGTTAATCAAGCTTTCTATTTAGACATTCTGAAAAGATTTCATAGCAGTGTGTGACAAGAAAAGCCTGATTTGTGGCAGACATGGGCCTGGTTTTGCCACCACGACAATGCATCTGTTCATGCAGCCATCTCAGTGCACCAGTTTTTGG